GTGGACTGCGGGCGACCCGGCAGGGCGGCCTTGATAGCGGTGTTGATGCGCCTCAGGGCGGCTCCCCCGGGGGCGGGGGTGGCCGTCGGCAGGACGGGAGCGGCGGTGCTAGGGGCGGTGGTGCTGGCGGCGGTGGTGGCGGGCGCGGGGGTGGCGGCCTCCTCGGGGCTGTAGATGGTCTGCAGGCCGTCGGGCCCGACGACCAGGACGCGGAGGGTGTGACGGGCGACCACCATGTCCTCGGGCAGGCGCGCGCTCAGGTCCACCGTCTGCAAAAGACAAACAACAAAACGTTTTAGAATTCTGATCTCTTTTCATTTTCCCCTCTCTCAAGATTCAGGCCCTCAGCTCCACGCCGCGGTCCACAAGGGCGCATCAGCCACTGCCGATATGACAAAGTTTGTCCGCGAAGAAAACTCACTCCGTGCAGCACGCGGCCAGAAAAGTTGGCAAATAGTAGTGATGATTTCGGGATCGAGGAGGGCGGTGGCGAATCGTGTCGCGAAACGAAGAGAGAGAGGGAGAGAAAGATCCTTTCGCAAGAAGAAAAGTTTTGAATTCGGCTGGGACACTGCGGAGTGGGGCGTGACCGTGGGCGGCACCTCCGTTCTCACCTACGAAGGGCCGAAAGCACCCCCCCTCCCCCTCTCGTCTGAGTGCTGGCCAGCAGTAGCCTTACAAGTTGGAGGAGACCCCCTGCCCCCTTGTGCCCTTCCACCCCCCCCCCCTCCCCTCTCTCCGTTTTCAGTCATAATAATGCCTTCTGAGAGAGGCACTAAAATCTTTAACTACCGCTTCGCAACAAGTTTCTCTCTGCCCGCTCCGTCTCTTTCTGCCTCTCAAGAGTGGCGTAGAGCTTAGATTTGAAATAAAGCCTCATAAAGGTCCGTTCGCGGTGTGGCGGCAGCAGCAGCAGCAGCAGCAGCGGTGGGGTCCGGTATTCGGAGAGGCTCCGGGCTGACCCTGACTCTGAACCACCAAACAAATGAGCCTTGGTATCTCGCCCCCTCCCCTCCCCCTCGCAACGGCGCCCTCCACTGACCCACCAAGGCCCCCCGCCCCACCCCCGCGCGCACCACTGCTGGCCCTTGCTGCACTGTCACATTTTGCCACACTATTGTTTTGGCTGCCTTTGTCTCTATCTCACCTGATCGCTGGGGGCCGGGACCTTCTCTGCCGCTATCCCCGTCCCCCCCGCTGCGGCCACCTGTCTTTTATGTCCCCAACCTCAGCCGATTTATTTCGCTCTCTCCCGGGAAACGCGCGCCCTGGCTGCCCTCCCGGCCTAGGCCACAAAAGCGATGGGCGGGCCCACCCTCCGGCCGCGCCAGGTCCCGAATCCACACGTTTTGCGACGCGCAACCTTGTCGCCGTCCCGTTCACGTGATGAATGGCCAACAAAAAGACACACAAACATTCTGCACGGGGATTGCAGACACAAGAGGAGGGACCCCGAGAAATAATTAAGGGCGAGAGGCAAAACAAATCAAGTAAGCTCTCCTCCAGCTCGTGAGCACGCGGAGGGTGAGAACGACCACGCGAGGCTCATGCTCATCGCCGCCCACTGGAGCGGCAGGAAGCGCAGCAACAGCCTCCTCGCGCTGCCCGCGCCCCGCCACGCCCGCTGCGGTTTGGTGATTTCGCGGTGAACCTCGCGCCTGGCCGGGCTATGGAGGCGCGGCGGCGCGGGGGGCCCCGGGAGAGGGGGGAGGGGGATTGATATACCCTCTGAACAATACACGTTATATGGGCGTTATGGAGCGCGCGCGGCGGGAGAGGGGCGCGGCAGACGCGGCGCAGCGGCGCTGAGAGACACTGACAAATCGCGCCAAGCCGCGGACACGCGCGCCAACACTTGTCCGACACCCAAAAACGGACGAGTGGGATGGAGCGAGCGAGACAGACGGTCAGAACCAGCTCGCACTCTCTCTCTCTCTCCGAGCCTGTCCCTCGTCGGCCGGACGCAGTGGACCAGCGGGGCACGCTGGGCGGCCCGGTCCTGCCGGCCGCATGATTAAATTAAGGAGCGAATCGTAAGAATAAAGCAGCGAGAAGCAGCGGCAGCAGCTGCAGCACCGGCGGCCCCGCGGGGGTTACGGGAGCCGTAAATATCGCGTCCCTCCTCGCGCGTCATGTCGCCGAAATTTCTTGAGCAACAACCTCCTGGCCTGGCGGGGTCCCCGGAGCGCGGCGGTGTAGGGGGGTCATCGTCGGGGTCCTGCTCACCTGTGCGACCTGCGTCCAAGCGGGCTGGGTGGTTCTCCTCATGACCACGTAGACGAGCGGGGCCGGTCGCGAGGCCGTGCCGGCGGCGGGCGCGGGGGCGGGCCACGACGCGCGCCCGCTCTGGGTGCGCACGGCGGCGTGCCCGCCCGTCAGCACCACGGCCTGCTGCTGGCGGTGCGGCCGCGAGCGGCGGTGGAAGGCGCAGGCCTGCTGGCAGCCGGGGAACTGCAACGAGAACAGAGAGAAAAACAAGGGGTTAATTTGGGATAGCAGGTACACGTTTACCATCCTCATCACCACCATCAACGACAACACCAGAGACGACATCCCCCCGCCCCCCTCCCCGCAGCCCCCTGGGCCCATTAGGACCAATCCCATCCCGGTGACAGGTCGAGCGCGCGCGCGCGCGCGCGTGTGTGTGTGTGTGTGTGTGTGTGAGCGTGGGTCTGACGGACATGGCATCTGACATGGCGCGGGCCAAAGTGTTGGTGGAGTCGTG